AGAGCTCTTCTTGGGGGGTAGGTTTGTAGATAGTATTAGTATATTCAGGTTATTTTCAGAAGTATCATAGAAAGAATTTGACAGATTTTCAGGTGTATATAGTATTTATTTGATTTTCATGTCCAGAAGAAATAAATGTAATCTGTGATATATGAAATGGACCATGTATTGATTAGCTGAGATATGGAAGCTGCAAGTTTATTAGATGGGATGTGTTTTGAGGTATAATACTTCATGTAACTTATTAAAGCAGTTTATGATAAACCTTAACCCCTTGGATCTGGGTGACATGACTGTCATGTCATGAAAAATTCTGGCTTGAAGGGCAGCACCTAGCAGAATGGCTACTCACGTAAGGCCAGATTTTTGGTGATGTGATTGTTGTGACACGTGATCCAATGGGCTAATAAACGGTGCATTATTTAGTCTATATATTGTATTGCTCTGATAATCATTAGATGGTGATTACTGTTGTGTACATTTATAAATGTTGCTTAGAATATAAAGGGGTAGAACCAGATTGTTTATAACCTTAACCTTTTTTTTTTTTCCATTGTTTCAACAGAATTTAATAACCTTATCATTACGAGGAAACAAAATTCGACAACTGCCAGCAGGCATAGGTGAGCTGACAGGTTTGGCCACGCTGGACGTAGCCCACAATCACTTGGAGCACCTGTCAGAAGAGATTGGTAATTGTCTGTGCCTGCAGACCCTCCACCTGCAACACAACGAGCTCCTTGACCTACCACAAAGCATTGGCTGTCTGAGAAATCTTACCTGCTTGGGTCTCAAGTAAGTTTTATCCTGAAACTTATGGAGTGGAACTTTTAAATGCTCAGAACCTTAGTACTAGTGTTGATTTTGTTATTAGGATTGACATTGATATCAACAAATGTGATACAGATTTCTTCCAAATTTTTATTCAGCTACAAGAAAGTCATTGATAAAATATTTCATTGCAGGTATAATCGGTTGACAGCTGTTCCACGATCACTAAGCAAGTGCATACACCTTGACGAATTCAATGTTGAGGGCAACCAGATCTCACAACTTCCCGAGGGCCTCCTGAGCTCCCTCTCCAACCTCTCTTCCCTTACTCTGTCACGCAATGCCTTCAACTCTTACCCTGTAGGAGGCCCTTCCCAGTTCACCAATGTGCACTCCATTAACTTGGAGCACAATCAGGTGGACAGGATTCCATATGGCATTTTCTCTCGAGCCAGGCACCTCACCAAGCTCAACATGAACTACAATGGGCTCACATCACTCCCACTTGGTATGTGTCATTTGTGTTACAGGGCCAGTAGTTTACTCTTATAGGTAAGCTAATGAAGGAAAGTATTTTACTGCAAAAGCAGTTTGCTAAGAGACACTACTCCTTGGTATAGCAGGGCCCCAAGATACAGAGTGATTTTGTCCTACCCCAACTGTTTGTTGTGGTAGTGCCCTTCCATAACAAGGGACAGGGTAAGGACAGCTGTGTAGGTCTTTGTTCCTTGATGTCAGTCAATCCCCAGTAATCAAAACAAAAACTATGAAATAACAATCACCAATTACTTCACTAATTACTGAAAATTGTGTCTTACTATACAATTATACATGCTTTTGTGTGATTTATATTGCTTGAAAGTATTAATAGTTATCATAGTAACTGTTTTCTAATTTTAACATGTGTTAAAAAAATCACCATTGGCACAAAGTTCAAGCATGGATCTTTCTTCTGAAATATTTTATTCTCTCATTGAGAATATTAGGGCCTATGAGGATTTATGGAATACAAACCACAACAACTACAAGAGCAGGATGTTAAAAAGGATGAAGATGGCTGATATTAGGAGACATCTACAACAAGAATATCCACATTATTATACTCATTTCCTGTATAATATTATATTTGTCTTTTCTTTCAAACTAGTGTCTAATCTACAATGATTTTGGTTGCTTCCTTTTCTTCTTTGCCCTTCTGAGGGCGACAAAACAATGCACCAAGGAAAAAGCATGACTTATATCCAGTCAGCACTTCTTTGGTTTCATGGGACTAGAATGTAGATGGGGTACTGGTTTGGCAGAGGACCAGCTTGTATAAAGGAGTAGTGTGACCATGCCTTTACACTGCAATGCAATTTTTTGTCTTATTTTATGTATTGCATTTCTTTGGCATTTTCTGTATGTAATGAAACATTTGAGGATATTGATATATCATTTTTAGTACAAAAAAAATGAAGTACTTCCGAATTCTTTTCAGATATTGGGTCTTGGCAGAATATGGTGGAACTTAACTTGGGTACGAATCATTTGACAAAAGTTCCAGATGATATATCTTGTCTACAGAGCTTAGAAGTTCTTATTTTGTCAAACAATAATCTCAGGGTAAGTCTGAAATGTATTGCTTGTTATCACTCATGGAGATAATTGACTTTGGTATAGAATATTAGACTTTTCAAATTTTGCAGCATTTGCTTTGTAACTAAATACAACAGGCAATTCGGTATAGTCATGCTTCTGAACTATGAGAGACCTCAAAATAGATGGTAATATATTTTTCAATGTTTTTAACCCATTGCCACCAGGGATGGCATGTACGTACATGCCATGCCCACTGTGAGTCGATTTGTTCGAGTGTTTTTACACATAGATGGCTACACTTGTACTAAGTATCCAATGAGCCAATTACGAGTACTGCTTGTCTCGCCCGTTCACCCTTTTCATCGATTTATGAAAATATTTAACGTTATCCTAATTTGCTGTTAAAAATAACACCTATATTTATAGCACTCGTAAGAATATGTTTTTTTCCCGCCAATTCAAGGGAAGGTGAAATCAGGACTAGCAGAGCCCCGGCGGCAAGGGGTTAAAAAAATCACCATTGGCACAAAGTTCAAGCATGGATCTTTCTTCTGAAGTATTTTATTCTCTCATTGAGAATATTAGGGCCAATGAGGATTTATGGAATACAAACCACAACAACTACAAGAGCAGGATGTTAAAAAGGATGAAGATGGCTGATATTAGGAGACATCTACAACAAGAATATCCACATTATTATACTCATTTCCTGTATAATATTATATTTGTCTTTTCTTTCAAACTAGTGTCTAATCTACAATGATTTTGGTTGCTTCCTTTTCTTCTTTGCCCTTCTGAGGGCGACAAAACAATGCACCAAGGAAAAAGCATGACTTATATCCAGTCAGCACTTCTTTGGTTTCATGGGACTAGAATGTAGATGGGGTACTGGTTTGGCAGAGGACCAGCTTGTATAAAAGAGTAGTGTGACCATGCCTTTACACTGCAATGCAATTTTTTGTCTTATTTTATGTATTGCATTTCTTTGGCATTTTTTGTATGTAATGAAACATTTGAGGATATTGATATATCATTTTTAGTACAAAAAAAATGAAGTACTTCCGAATTCTTTTCAGACATTGGGTCTTGGCAGAATATGGTGGAACTTAACTTGGGTACGAATCATTTGACAAAAGTTCCAGATGATATATCTTGTCTACAGAGCTTAGAAGTTCTTATTTTGTCAAACAATAATCTCAGGGTAAGTCTGAAATGTATTGCTTGTTATCACTCATGGAGATAATTGCCTTTGGTATAGAATATTAGACTTTTCAAATTTTGCAGCATTTGCTTTGTAACTAAATACAACAGGCAATTCGGTATAGTCATGCTTCTGAACTATGAGAGACCTCAAAATAGATGGTAATATATTTTTCAATGTTTTTAACCCATTGCCACCAGGGATGGCATGTACGTACATGCCATGCCCACTGTGAGTCGATTTGTTCGAGTGTTTTTACACATAGATGGCTACACTTGTACTAAGTATCCAATGAGCCAATTACGAGTACTGCTTGTCTCGCCCGTTCACCCTTTTCATCGATTTATGAAAATATTTAACGTTATCCTAATTTGCTGTTAAAAATAACACCTATATTTATAGCACTAGTAAGAATACGTTTTTTTCCCGCCAATTCAAGGGAAGGTGAAATCAGGACTAGCAGAGCCATCTATGGACAGAGATATTTCACAAAAATATAAAAAATAAGTACTGCATTTCCCCCATTTTTTGTTCATTTTCCCTGGCGGCAATGGGTTAACCCAGCTGATGGTCAGGATGAGACACCTTGGGTCCATGGGTGTCTCGGTTATGAGCAATTTGAAGTTTCTAAAAACATTCAAAACAGGTGCACTTGGGAGTCTGTGTTATCATTTATGAATATATCATTCAAAACTTGAGGGGTGGCCTGACCTTTGTGACCTTTGCACAATCAAAATCTTTAGGGAAATACGTAGCATTACACAGGCTTGCCATCTAGGGCTAAAAGGCTTTTTGTTCTTTCTCTCTTTCTTTCTTTCCCCAGATATGTGTAATCATGCTTGTAGTGCTTAGATTTAGTTGTACAGCTTCTAAAAGGATGAGAAATGATGGGCCATGAATGGGAGTAATTAATTATCAGGACAGTTAAATTAGGATAAGAAATTATTCCTGTAACCCTTTCTTTTCCAAAGCATCCCCACATTATAAAACAAACCAATAGATAAAATTTGATTTTTTTTTATTGTTCTTAACCCTATATGATCCAGATGATGTGACCATCATATCATGGGAAAATTTGGCCAAAGGCTTAGGTGACAGGAACTTACTGTCATGAGAATTTCGGCTGAAGGCTGGGGTGACGAGCATGACTCCGCACAAGTGCACAAGGCTCTTGGAGGATGATTAGACATATTGGGCATGTAGGTTAAGTGTAGGGTGTACCATCCGTGAGCTATGACTGGAAAGCACCAGCTCAAGGAAAGATGCAATTTCCTTGCTCAGCATCCTATTCCTGCTCACCATGACCAGCAGTGCACATTGTATTACAGAATGTTGAATATTACACAAAAAAAAAATTAAATGACACACATAGAAAACATTACTTATTTTTGTTACTATTTCACTGCATTATGGACTACCTAGAAAGATGATATTGAGTCTATGTATAGAAAACAGTCAGATGACAAATGTAGACATTGGAAAATGGGGGGGGGAGCTAAAAATGCTTATGCAGAAAAAGAAAAAAGAATATTGCAAAGGGGAGCATGGAATCTACAAGCCACACACTGGTCAGAGTGGCAGCACAAGTAAGCCTAATGCCTGTATTTTGGGCCACATGTGGGCAGTGAAGCACCCATGTCAAAGGGGTCCATGCTGATGTAATAATTTCATTCAAATTTAAAGAATCAGATAAAAGAGGTGAAATCAAGTAGTCCCAGAACAAGTAACTCTTTTTTTTTTCATCAACCCATTTGTGAAGTCATCTGTGTGTGAACAAAACTGATGTAATCAGACCACAGTGGATAGTGTATATACCCAGTGTCAGTGGTCATTGTGTGAGTGCGCAGATATGTGTATTTGTGCTGTTGGTGCAAGTATAAGTTCTTGTGCTTGTACATTTTTGTGGATGGATATATGAGTGCATAGACACTTCTTTAGGTGTTTGGGTATGTGGTGTACAGTGTGTGTTGTTATACATCTATGAAAGACACAGCTGTGCATTGCTGATGGCTGCTGCAATATAGCATTCTGAGGAGTTAAATAATAGTGAATGAAGTGAGGAAGCAAAAAAGTAAAACAAAAGATTTTTCCCTTTACAGAAAATTCCTTCAAGTATAGGCAACTTACGCAAGCTTCGGGTGTTGGATCTAGAGGAGAATCGTCTAGAAGGGTTGCCACCTGAGATAGGGTTCCTTAAAGATCTACAAAGGCTTATAGTCCAATCCAATCAGCTTTCTGCTCTGCCACGTGCTCTGGGGTTAGTGATCTGCTCATGTCTTATCTGTTATCACTTACAGATGGTTTAGCTGGATGACCATTTATTTAGATGTGTACATGATTGTTTATTATACATTATATTTTCACTGAAATGTTTTCTTGATTTTAGAGCAAATTTTGTAGTGACTGCTTAAGATTTAAGAACATTATTGATACTATTTTAATTTGCAGGCATTTAGTCAATCTAACTTACCTGAGTGTTGGTGAAAATAACCTGAGTTACCTGCCAGAAGAAATAGGGACTCTGGAGTCCCTTGAGACTTTATACATCAATGACAATCCTCAGCTGCACAACCTACCCTTCGAGTTGGCACTCTGCACAAATTTGCAGATAATGTCTATTGAAAACTGTCCCTTGAGTCAGATACCTCCCGAGATTGTGGCTGGTGGCCCATCTTTTGTTATCCAAGTAAGTTATGCATTTATCATTTGCTATGCCTGCACACTAGTTTTTCTTATATGAAATATTTGATTTTCATAATGTGTATAAGTTTCAGTCATTAATATTTTTGCAGTAGTAATGAGTTTCTCTCTGTTTTCCAGTTTTTGAAAATGCAGGGTCCATACCGCACAATGTGAGGGTGATGTCCCTCGTTACCAGGAGTCACGTCGGGAGGTCCGAGCAGACATACATCAAGAGGAGCAGTCTCAGTGGCTGTTGCTCCCCGGCCGTGCTCTGCCTCTCCTGCACCTCTTACACTGTTCCTGCTGCTCCTACACCCATAATTGTATTTGCTGCTTGTGGTTCAGGCTGGCACAACAGCTGTGGTTCATGTCCGTACTGCTTGTGGTTCAGGCTTATGTGACAGCCTGTCATCATTGTTGTCACCAGTGACAACTGAAAGGAATCTAGCCTGTGGACGTGAAACCCAGCAGCCATCTGTGGCATTTGGGTGACAGCAGAGAGAAGCTTGGATGTGTCAGGGACGCAGGCTGCCCATGTGAAATGTGATATTGTGCTTTTCTTGTTAGGTATAAGTGTGTCACCAAGCCAGGCTAGAGGAGGACGAGGTGGTAACTGAAACCTGGCCTGGCTTTGGTCATGTCTGGTGTGAGAAGCATGGTATGGGACAGTGGTAATGGTAGGGAGGTGGCCCCCATCCACTCTGCCAGTCCTTGTACTGGTCACAGGAGGTATGATCAAGTAGGAAAAGACCTCTTTGCTGGTATGACAAAGGTGGAGCACTTGCTTTACCTTCATACCAAAACTGAACAAGAGTAAACCAAGTCATACTGATGGTAGCAATGCAAGGAGGAGGGCCCCCTTCCCCCATTCAACAATCACCATGTTGGAATTAGAAAATAAAAAAAATAAAAAATAAAAAAATAAAAAGAGAGAAAGTGTGAGTGAGTGTTGTGAGAGTGAGTGTGCCGAATGCACGCATGAGAGGAACAACAGCGCTGGTGCTCTGTGTCAGATGTTGATTATGCATGTATGGCTGTGCAGGTGTGTGCACAGAGCAGGACATATTAGGTAGCACTGGTGGCATGGCACTGGTCTCCCCCCTACACAATGGCGTTCACTATCCATTAAGTGGCAGCCATGTGTGACTTCTCCCCCGCTCCACATTGGCTGCTGTATGGTTACTGGATGACGTTGAAGCAGTGCCAGCCACTAGCCCCGCCTCTACTCTGTGCTGCTTATGTGTGAATGTCCTGGTGTGTATATACTGTATATGTAACATAAGCCTGCTACTATTAGGTTGCTTCAAACCGTCGCTGTTTTATCCTCTCATAAAGTTGCTGTCTCCCAGACCAGTGCTTCAGTGTGTGTGTTTGTATGTACAATGTAGTGAGTGTTAATTGTCACAGAAATTACACAAAAAGTTTTGTGTGGATGTGAATATCAGTATTTTCTAGAAAGGCCTGATTTGCTTTGCTATGTAAATATTTGCTTTAACTAACTCAGTCCAGGAATAACTATATGAAATTGATGAAATTAAATCATACTTTGCTTCCTGTGCCAAGCTAAGGCTTTTGTTTTTTGTGTCTATTTATATGATTTTTAAAAAATGTTTAGTTACTTTTCAAACTATGAAACTGACGAGACTAGTTTGGTGGCGACATCGGACCAGTGTGTCTTGTATTAAGAATTAAGTCTTTATGTAATACATTCACAGGAAATCATGAATGTATTGGATAGAGTATTGAGCCAAGAGAGTCTCATCTAAGCAGGAACGAGTGCCAGCAGTTTGATGGCCTCAAAGATACTAGGTGTTGGCAGGTCATCCCCCTTCTGTCCCCTCATTCCTGTCAGTAGTAACTTACACTTGGCAAGGAAGATCAGAGAAAACCTATTCTTTTATCATTGTTAACCTCATCACCCCCTCCCCCTTGAGGCTCATTGGTGCTCTACAAGTAGAGCCTCCTCCCCTGGTCATAGCGAGGTGGATAATATACTCACAGAAAGAAGAGTGAAGCTTCATGCTTCAATGTGTCAATGATAGATAATTTCAAATGAATTACACTTCGTCCTAAGTGTCTTTGTCATCATGTGAGTTATAAACCTTATTTTTTGAGCAGCAAAGACCAATAATATACAAGTGCAAGGTGACCTTGGCATTAGGCCAGAAAAGAAATGAATGCACAATAAGAAATCTTGGAAACAGAGACCATCTTTAAAGAGATGGTCAACTGACATAACCTTGCACATTTATTTTTAGGTTGAACTGGAAGTGTTTTACACTAGCGTTCAAGCTGCTGCTCTGTGGAGATTGACATTTCATCAACAAGAACTGCAAGGCAGTTAGGTTTTAGTGTACCTTTCAATGACTGCTGCTGCTGCTAACTCCTTGGAGCAGCTGTGAATAATAACCTAGTCAGTGTCCCGTGGGGTGTTGTGCCTGTAGGCTGGTATGTCACTGGTCTAAGTCACCTCCCACACCATCCATTGCTTTGTAGCATCCACCCCACAGACATAACCAATGCTTATTACTCAAATGGACATGCTGTGTATCAGTCGCCTCTCAAAAATGTTACTCAATAAACCTGTAGGTGACACCATGTATCATTACCACCCAAGTTTTGCTGCATTTGAAGGATAAAAAAAATTATGATTGTAATTTATATATAATCTATTTACAAAGTGTAATACAAGAAAAACTACAAAGCCCTTCACATATTTATTATTTATTATTATTATTATTTTGTTAATTTAAAAACTTTTCAAAATCAACTTTATCTAATCTCTTCATTGGAATTTCAACACTCCTTAGAACTTTGGTTACTATGCCTGTTGCAACAGTTGCATTATTTTCTCTGATGGTGAAGGACTGTCCACCTGTCATTACCATTCTCTCCTGTAATGTCACCTCTACTTTTGTATGGTCACCTGGAATATGAAAGAACAAACTGTTAAAAATACTCCAAGCTACAGATATTTTATTTCTAAAATGATGGACAATAATATCTACAGTAAGCATATTCATGTTAACCTCTCAGATAGCTTGATCACAGAAGTAAAACAACAAGGCATCTTAATCTTTTCTCTTTGACAGAAGCCAACCCCCTTGATCGATATAAATGAGTGCTTATACATTGGTAGTGAATTAATACTCATAATACAAGTATTCACACATACATATGTACACATACAACATTCAAATAAGACAATGAAAGCTTAGTATAATATAATGACATTAGGCATTTCCTTGCAAGGCTGTTTTTTTTTTAAATATTGTCCTAATTCAGACCTGTTAGCTGAAACATCCAAATGGATACTATCCTCAGTTGTTTTATATATTTTTTTCCACCATACTGTGGATGAGGATATTAATTTGTCAAGTGGTTAACTTCTTATAGCCAGGCACACCTATAGCCGTCATGAAAAATTAACTTGTCATGATGGATACAGCTGTAGGAGTCACGACTCACTAAAGCAAGTCGAGTGGGAAGTTCCACTATATGCAGTGAACTCCTCAGCAAAAAGCCAGAAGACACCAGAATGAGTGACAGAAATTTCAGGCACTGTCATCTTGGGGTTAAAAGTTGGTTTGTTGGTTAATGTTATAAAACAAAATAAATGTGCTAGACATCAAAGGACATATAGCACTATAGGGGTGTAGTGAAAAAGGCAAAAAGGAGGGATAGTTAATGATTAAATGTGCTACATATCAAAAGTCATATAGCAGTTAACCCAATGCCGCCGGGGAAAATGAACAAAAAATGGGGAAAATGCTGTGCCTATTTTCTATATTTTTTGTGAAATGTCTGCCCATAGCTGGCTCTACTAGTGCTTAGCCACAAAGGAGTCAATTAGCAGACCTTGTGATCGTACCTGATTTGAAATAGTGGGGAAAATGTATTTCTTACTAATGCTATGAATATTGATGGTGTTATTTTTATTATAAACATTATAATTATTATAATGTTTTTTAATATTAGTAACAGCAAAATAAGATAACGTAAAATATTTTGTAAATCAAAGAAAAGGGTAAATGGGCGAGACAGGCAGTACTCGTAACTGGCTCATTGGTGACTCATTGGTAGCCATTTATGTGTAAAAACAATCTAACAAATACTCACAGTGGGCATAGCACGTACGTACACATCATATTCGTCGGCACTGGGTTAAGTTTAGTATGGCAATGAACGGGGAAAGGTGTAGGCATCTTATCTTGGGTCATGATTAGATACTTTTGAATGTCCTCAAAAGTTTCTGAAGGAGAACAAATGTTTTCTTACATGGGGGAGAAGAGGGGAAGACAGATATTTGAGGGACGGAGGAAGAGGCTGATGTAGGAGAAGATAGAGTGGAATGTTGAGTTGGTCTTGTGTAGTGAGTCGAGTGAGAAAGAGGAGGGATGTATACCAGATAAAGAAATCAGACTCTCTGAATTTAGAATAGTGGTAGATACTGGAGTGTCTGGTTTCAGAATGGCAAAAGAACTTGACTGGGAGAAGGAGAGGGAGGGGTAGAAGTGGGAGGAGTGAGAGATACTGGGTGGATGTAAAAACATCTTGGGAGGAGGAGGAGGGGCAGCATTGGAGTAAGGAGTAAGAAAAAAAATTGTCTGCAAGCTTCCTGTCGGGCCACATGGTTAGTGAGGCCAAGTTTGAATATGAGAATTGTCACCTCAGACTCAAACTTGTAGATAGGACAGTCCCTATAAAGTACATTATGGGAGCCACCACAATTGGCACATATGATTGTCCAGATTGTCCCAGTCATTCTACAGATTTCAGGAACTGTGTCAAAAATGATATTTCTCTAATGTTCTCAAATTGTATCCATTCCATATTTCATCTTTGTTAAAGACAGATATTCAAACTCTCACCTTAACTTTTCAGCATCTATTTTAAAGACAATTACTTTTTATTCCACACATGAACTGGTGCTGATTTCAAACAAACGGCAAGAGAACTACCCAGACGACAAAGGTTTTAGAATAAAAGTGATATGTGAAAAAGTAAAAATGCACTGACAACAACAATTATTGTTTCTTGTACTGCTCAACTACAAAAGTATAGCATTCTTGGTCATGGGTTTTAGAGAAAACGTATGATTCAACTGCAGAATCCCTTTTTGATGTGAAAACCCCCTCTGTAATATAAAAAAGGTATTTGATATTCCCTAGATTCAGCTGAATTTCTTGGTTATATCCATCTTCCAAAAATGCTCCTAGGAAGCAAGCATGAGGGACGAGTTTTGGTAGATTTGCCCCTTTATTTCTAACCAATCCACATGAAATAAATAGCTTGAATACCCCATATTGCAAAACCATATCAGACTTAATAAAGTGACATTTTAAAGGCCATTAATTTTACAGCACTGTCATCTAGTACACAAGTTACTGATTATTTCAAGGAACATGCAGTCATAGCAGCTGTTAGATTAAGAGAAAACTACAATGGATTTCCAAACATATTGCTATATTTCTTTTTTTACTTATTTTAAAAAATAAAGAGAAATCATCTGACTCATAAGCCCAATGTTTGTTTTTTTATGCATGGGAATACATACACTCAAGTCATGTATTGACCATATTACTGAACTCTAACTATACATTACAATCGAAATTTGATTTGCTAAGTTTGCTATAAAAGAGAAAATAGATAAGGGAATAAATAATGAAAATAAAATACATGTTAAACAATTTTCCTTTACCTGGCATGACCATTTCCACACCATCTGGCAGGTCTACACGGCATGTTACGTTCCAGGTCCTACTAAAAAGCTGCTGAATGTATCTCGATGTCAAAGGGCGAGATCGCCCTCCTTCACTTCGACTGAGGAGGTAAATTGTTGCTTCAAACCTGGAAGGATTAATTTGAGAAGGTTATAGAGCAAGTGAGGGGCATTTATATCCTACGCATGAAATTAACTCCCAAAAGATAGATGAAAATGTGAATAACTTTACTTGAGTATGTATATGTGGGATTTAGAGGGACCACAGGCATTTTAAGTGCCATAAGATACTCACATCATCAAAATTTGTGTCTACAAAATCCTGCTTGGAAAATGTCCACATTCTTTTATCTACCAGTTTGTGCAAATGAAATAAAATGTAATTTCTCTTGTATCAATGTCAAATAATTTCAGGGCAGCAATCAGGTTCCAGTGAACAATACCTGTTATATGCTGCCTGGGACCCTGCAAAACATAGAGTCATGCCACGGTGTAAAGCCTCCAAGCGAACGCCTCGTAATAGAGCACCTATGTTTTCTCCTGCGA